AAATGCATTTTCAATGATCACGTCATATGACCAGACATTCATTGGCCAATAAGAAATTTTAAAATGGCATGTCCAGTAATGCATTCTGAAATCTAATCAGCTTTCTAGTAAGCTTTTCTAGTCTGAGGGAGGTATTGGGGAAAAACACCCAGAGCTTCATATGCTTGAAGACGTTAGCATGCCATTCACACTTTCGACTTCATGTCCATATGTAGCTGTATTAACATGTCTGAATGCTTCTAAGTGCCTGAGCAATTCCACATCAATCGCGAGGCATTAAAACGAGAACTACCAGTGACAGCTTACACATATTTTCCAGGTAAACACGTGTCTGCTTAATGAGAAAAACAACAACATGTTTCATGCTAATATGACTGTAAAGCACCATTACACTAGACACAAGAAAAAAAACAACACTCTGGGATTTCACTGTCACACTTTTTCTGATTTAAATGGACTCAAACACACGGGTCCATACAGTGACAAAGGACAGACCGACCATCCATCACATGTCCCAAAGTCCACATCAATCTACTCAGGGATGCTGACAAACACATCAACTAAGTGACCTACACTGTCAGCATCCACTTAACCTGCAAACACTGAGCTGGCGCTATAAACTCACTTAGCATAATCACACACTCGGTCGTACACTCATCTGTAAACACGCAGAAAAATGTAAGCTGGATAAATCCAGCGTTTTCTGACCCAACCAACATAGGATGGGGTGATGTTGGGTGAAACAGAGGGGAGGGGTATGTGGAGCAGAGGTGGACGTAGAGTCTTGGACGTGGTTACTTAACGGATAAATTTATGCATTAAAAGTGCCCAGGTGGCATGGCACTTTGGGAATCAACAGCTGCAAGATGTCAGCATGCAGGGAGCTTCTCTTCAGCCTCATATCACCGACAGCAGCTGTTCGGATGCAGTGGCGGTTGTGCGGCTTATACCGCGGCTTACACTGCTAATGTCACCGCCCTCCTGTCAGCCGTTACAAACTCCCACCAGCCTGAAATTCCTGTATGGTAAAGGTAAGAAATCACCAGAAACTCTGGCCCTGGTTGCAGCAGCGTTGGTGTCAGAATGCTTAAACATGTGCTAAGCGGTTTAATGCATCAACATCAGAGTGCACAGCTTTTACACACTGCCTTAAAACAATGTGTATTTTGAAAAGCACTATACAAAATACAAAAATTGTAATGCTTAAATATATACTGCTTAAATATATACATAAAAGCAGATGGAATGCAATCATATTCTGCTCGCAACTAAAACGTGAAGCCAGTTAGCATGCATGGCAATGCACACCCTTAAAGGACTGGGGGAAGAAGAAGAGCGAGAGCGAGAGCGAGAGAGAGAGAGAGAGAGAGAGAGAGAGAGCGAGTGAAAAAGTAAATCAGTGTGAAAAGATCCATGATTGACAACATCACTAAGCCTTATTCTTTTGAACTCCTCCTGACTGACATCTGACAGCTACAACCTCTGACCCCGGCACACGGTCGCATCTAAGCAGGACATGGGATCCAGCCACAGTAAATGACAGAAATGTTTCGCTATTGTGCATGCTAATAAGACCTATAAGGGTGAAGCCAAGTACTAATGGGGTAGCGCACCAATGTACTGTAGAATGGGAGGTATTAAACACATTTACACTGCAAATGCATTTTCAATGATCACGTCATATGACCAGACATTCATTGGCCAATAAGAAATTTTAAAATGGCATGTCCAGTAATGCATTCTGAAATCTAATCAGCTTTCTAGTAAGCTTTTCTAGTCTGAGGGAGGTATTGGGGAAAAACACCCAGAGCTTCATATGCTTGAAGACGTTAGCATGCCATTCACACTTTCGACTTCATGTCCATATGTAGCTGTATTAACATGTCTGAATGCTTCTAAGTGCCTGAGCAATTCCACATCAATCGCGAGGCATTAAAACGAGAACTAACAGTGACAGCTTACACATATTTTCCAGGTAAACACGTGTCTGCTTAATGAGAAAAACAACAACATGTTTCATGCTAATATGACTGTAAAGCACCATTACACTAGACACAAGAAAAAAAACAACACTCTGGGATTTCACTGTCACACTTTTTCTGATTTAAATGGACTCAAACACACGGGTCCATACAGTGACAAAGGACAGACCGACCATCCATCACATGTCCCAAAGTCCACATCAATCTACTCAGGGATGCTGACAAACACATCAACTAAGTGACCTACACTGTCAGCATCCACTTAACCTGCAAACACTGAGCTGGCGCTATAAACTCACTTAGCATAATCACACACTCGGTCGTACACTCATCTGTAAACACGCAGAAAAATGTAAGCTGGATAAATCCAGCGTTTTCTGACCCAACCAACATAGGATGGGGTGATGTTGGGTGAAACAGAGGGGAGGGGTATGTGGAGCAGAGGTGGACGTAGAGTCTTGGACGTGGTTACTTAACGGATAAATTTATGCATTAAAAGTGCCCAGGTGGCATGGCACTTTGGGAATCAACAGCTGCAAGATGTCAGCATGCAGGGAGCTTCTCTTCAGCCTCATATCACCGACAGCAGCTGTTCGGATGCAGTGGCGGTTGTGCGGCTTATACCGCGGCTTACACTGCTAATGTCACCGCCCTCCTGTCAGCCGTTACAAACTCCCACCAGCCTGAAATTCCTGTACGGTAAAGGTAAGAAATCACCAGAAACTCTGGCCCTGGTTGCAGCAGCGTTGGTGTCAGAATGCTTAAACATGTGCTAAGCGGTTTAATGCCATTTCTGTGGGAAGTAGCTATGGAAATGAAGCCTGTTTGAGCAAAAAAGCCAGCCTGGTTCTGAGGGGGTCTGGCATGCATGTCGCGGCTCCCCACCCGCACAGATGATGCCCTCAGGGAAACACGGCAACATATGGGCCTTACACAACACTCAGACTTTCTGTTCCAATGCTGACTTCACACAGCTATTAGAGGAAGACTGCAAAAAGATGACAATGTTGTTAAAGGAAACATGACGTACGCAAAAAGCATAGTCACCAGAATAATCTGTTTAATTAAACACCAAAAAGCTGACTTAAAGTTGAAAGGGTTTTGAAAGGGTTTCAGCACACTGAATTGCACCTGTAAATTCATCCTCCTTCAAAATTGGGATGTAATTGTAGTAGCAACAGGAAATTTTGTTACTATTGTGATGCATATGAGTATAATGGATTAATGAAAAGATGAAAATACAGGATGGGACTTGGTTCTATTCATCAGTTGTTTAGATTGAAGGCAGATCTGAATGCAAGTTTGCAGTCGATAGTAAGAGGCGGGTTTAAGCAGACTAAATGATTGGAGCATACATAACGAGTAAAGTATATCGTTTCACTGGAAGATTGAGTTTACGAGGTCAAAATAAATAAAATAAATGAAACATGCATGGATGAATTGTTCACAATATAATCAAAAACTTTAATTAGAAAAGAGATAAGGTGAATTACCATTTCATACCAACTAGCAAGTGTATTAAAGCTACAATACAGCTGTTTAACAACTATTCTGCCTGTACTTACATGCAAAAAAATTTTTCCAATGCAAGGAAAATGTATTCAAAGAATCGAATGCACTGGAGGAGTTCTAATATTCCATTCTGAACAAACCTCCTGATGTTTGTACAAAGCTGAGGAAAAGAAAAAATAAAAGCCCTCTAAATCAGTATTCATTTGCCGTAAAGACTAGAAGCAGAGCTATTTAAAGCGGCTTATTTCCAGCTATCCTGCCTACCTGCTGTCTGCCCACACTTCACCGCATGAAACAACCACATGCGACATATGTTTTAATCAGACTCAGTCATGACAGAGGGCTTCCGGGAAGGACGTGAAATTCAAGTGAAGTCTACTTCACACAAATCCATTTATCAAATAAACTGATAATTGCGTAATGCGTTTCTTTCTGCAAAGGAACCAGCACACACAAACGTGTGCATATTAAAAGCAAAATAATCAAGTTTATTTAACCCAACATGTCTTGATGCCGGGTTGTCATGGCTACTGTTTATCTCTTGAAAAGCAGAATATTCCACCTCTTGCAGCTTTGCTCATCGACTCGCTTGCATCTGACAAACATGGGCGTTACACACAGAGATGCTGAGGAGCCAGATAGTAAAAAGGAGGAAAGATGACAAAGAGAGTAAAATTGGACTGACATTGACAGCCGCTCTTCAGGGGGACACATACATCCTGAAGGAGGTCTGGTAGCCCACTAAAACCAGTCACATCCCACACACATACACTCAAACAACATGGCTGGCTGCAAGCCCATGGTACAAATGAGAGAGAGAGAGAGAGAGAGAGAGAGAGAGAGAGAGGGAATACTGAGAAAAGGGAGTTGCATGCTGAGAGAGAGAAAGAGAAGCGCATGAGAGAAAGATGAAAAGAGGAAGTGAAGCCTGAGTACGTGTTTACATAACAGTGTGACTCCTTCAGGGCAGACAAAATGCCTGTCTGTTTGAGTAAAGAGAAAGTAATCAATCTAGAACTCTGCATTCAAAAGGAAAAGTGCACGTTAAAGAAAGAGTTAAACCAAAAATGAAAATTGGTATCATTTATTTACCTGCATGTCATACCAAACCTGTATGACTTTATTGCAAGGATCACAAAAGTTGATATTTTTAATTATTCAGGCTTCAAAAATGACAAAAAGCACCTTAAAAGTATCACAGAAGTGGCCCATATAACTCATGCACGATATTTTAAGTCTTCTGAAGTTGCCCAACGGATTTGTGCAAGAAAAGTAGCAAAATTAAGCCGTTATTCATTGAAAAACTTCACATGGTGATTCATTTTAGAACTGTAGCAATTCATTTTTCAGAATACTTGCGTAGTGATTCATTTTAAAGTAAGATCATCTGTAACGCGAGCCAGACTGTGTCTGTGTGTGAATGAGAAACCCGAGACAAACGCAGTGTTAAAATGCTAATTGAATGTGTGCTGGAGGTCAAAGGTCAAGCAGACACTGCATTCAAACCCGAGGCTCTCTGATGGTGTGGATGTGTAGTTTTGTAGGCACACGGTTCAGGCCGACGGGAATCTGGATGTGGCCGGTTCTGTTTAAGTGCAGAAGGGCTTTAAATGGGTCACATTACGTGCTGGAGTTTCCATGCAGCGCTCCCAAAAGGAGCATGTTTGATTGAATTAAAACCAGCCGGGCCATGCTGCCTTCAAATCAAGCCCAGAGCTCTGAGCACCGGTCGTCACACACACACACACACACACACACACACACACACACACACACACACACACACACACACACACACAGACAGAGTGTGTGGATCTCAGAGCAAGTGACTTTTAGATCTAAATACTGCTGAATTTAAAGGACAAGTAGACAGTTTATGTATTCCTTTACTGTCATATCCCCAGGCTGCAGAGACAGAGGGACTCGATTTACTACAATATTAGAATATACTGTCACCAATAGTGCAAATGAAAAGAATATTTTTGGAACCTTCAGGAAAAATAATTCAAGACAAATCAGAGGTAGAAATCAGGAATGGGGAACCTGGCTTACTACCTATTTTTCTATATCAATCCACCCACGCACCTATCCAATCATCCACCCAACCATCATCTTGTCCAGTCCATCCATCAACCCTTCACCTATTCATCTTATCTGTCCACCCATCTATCCATCCATCCATCCTTCCACCTACCTATCTGTCCATTCAGCCATCCAGACACCGAATTTCCGTATTTAAATTAAAACTGAAAACATGAATGTGCATATAAGACTTTTATTTGTACCATTGTTTAATGCAGCTCTAAACTCCATGCTCTCCACCTCCACTTCCACCTAGGAGAAAGAGAGAGAGACGAGGCAAGAGTTAATGTACTGTATCTGGGATTAGCTGAGATTCGATTACTGTGGCTTTGTCTTAAATAGACCGATCACTGGAGGAGACTGAGCTATCTATTGATTGCCCAGACGGCTCGTTCTTCAGGCAACTCGGGGGGCCTTCAACATACCCCCACTCATCTCATACACACACACTTCCTGTCACTGACATCACTGCTAGGCATGTCTTTCTTGCACAATTAAACATGAGGTCGAGATTCAGCCTGGCGCTAACTTTAGCCTGACATTCTCAATTAAAGCGGTGACAACAGGGAACACGCACCACTAATATATTACATTTGTCTCCGAGCACTGAGGCTGTTTATTGGCCAGTGATCAAAGACGGCAGGCAAGGACAAAAAAAAGTGCATTTCAAAGAAAGACAGGATGACAGAGAGAAAGAAAAGGGGGGGAGGGACAGTGAGTCACTTAAAATATTAACCCATTACTAATGGAAAATAAGGTAGGATGAATTATCTAACTGCTTCTTAACACACAAAACAGAGAAGGGAAATTACACACTGTATGACGCATCAAGGTTTTAGAGAAGTCTTTGTACAACAGAAAATTTAAAAGCTCTAATCAAAGCAATCTAATGACAATGTCTTATTAATTAAGATGATTATAGGGAACTCTAATGCTTAAACTTGATTTTTACATTTTCTGAAGAAAATTATGCTAGGGTCTTGTGAGTGGTTGCCAAGGAGTTACAATGCAGTTGCTGGTGTATTCAGAATGCTTTCTTTAGAATAACTATTAAATTGTTGCCAAGTGTTGCTTGGTGGTTGCTAGGGTGTCTGATTTTTTTTTTGTGTGCATGTGTGTGTGTGTGTGTGTGTGTATATGCAATTGTTATGGTGTTTGAGATGTTTTCATTGTGTTGCCATGCCATTGCTATGGTATTTTTTGTGGTTTCTAAGCATTGCTAGGAGTAAGTTGCTATGTAAGATATCCTGATCCTTAGATATGGTTCAGGTTCTTCAGTGTAAGCCTATGGGATTTTTCACAATTTTATCGCCCAATCCAATCGCATACATCTTATCAAGCATCACAAATTGAAGTACCCTTCATGTCATGTTGCACAAACGGTTCGGGTGACTTGATGCACCAAATCTGAATACTAAAAGTTACAGGCTGCCTTAGCAAGCACCACTTAGAACTTGCTCCATCAAATCTTCTGTCTTAACAATCAGATCTATCAGCAAAGCAACATCCACACTGTGCAAGTGAAATGGCTTTGTGAAAAACAGCAGGTGTTGTGAAAAGACACTCCAAGAGTCAAACGATTAAGAGTGCGGTTGTTCAGCCAGGAAGCCCCTTGGGAAATCTGCTGGGAATTACTTTGGAGGCAGAGGCTGCACACGCAGGGAGAGTAAACGCTTTTTAATGAGGGCATAATCGGCACTTTGATTAAACAAGAATGACAACCGACCTCACATTATGGGGACAAACAACTACCCTCCCACTCCGGCCCCGCTTGGCGGCAAACTAATGCTCTACACGCAGAAGGTAATGGCTCCGGCCAGGTTCACTCTCAGAATGTTCCGGTAATCTGGGTTGGCCTTAGCCAGAGGGCTAAATGTATTAGGTCTCGCACAACCAGCTTTATGCACCCCATGTACTTTGCTGTTGGAACACAGGGCAAAGAGTTCATCAAAGTGAACCAGCCTACTAAACAGGTTTTCATTAGTAATAATCTGATGTCAAACCAGAATTTTGTTTAATTAAATGATGCTAGTTTGATGTGGCTGCCAGGGTGTTGCTCAGCAGTTGCTAAGGTGCTTGGGGTGGTTTTAGCTCGTTTGCGAGGTTAAGAACATGTGTTTTTGGTGGCTGCTAAGTGGATGTTTAATGTCATTGGTATTTAACGGTGGGTGCTTTTGACAGCATGTCCATAATGTACATGCTTTACCTCCTATTTCAGACACTAAATTTTATATACAGTTTCGCAGAAGGTGAGTGTCTCAGATACAGATCATAGACTGGGTGGCTTCTCTGCTAGCCTCCTTCATTATATAATCAAGTCTTTGAGGAAGACAACACTTACATCTAATGTCAGACGAGGGAGTTTTAGATATGCTTTGGCAGCAGATCCTGCAAGATAGTCTACAACTGTCTTTAGTGCATCTGTTCACCTGTCCACCAGCATCTAATGCATCCCTTGCCACTCAACACATCATATGATGCATTATTAGACTTCCTTCCTGACAATGCTCAGAGGCTGAAGCACTGATACTCATGATGTATTTTTTACAATGTAAAAAATGATTTCAGAAAACCATAAATAAATTCAGGGGATGTAAAAAATGTTCAATAAATAAACATGTCAAACACTTACTATAATAAATAACAATAAATACATTTGTTCCAAAAGTATTATATATTGTTTCACTTAGCTGGAGCCTTTTGTGATCTTTACAAGCTGGAAGTTTGTAAAAAGAAACAAAACAGTTGTGATAAATTTCAGCGTTGGCTACTGCTGTGTGTTGTTTTTACCCAATTTTATTAAAATTAGGTAATATTTAATAGCATTTATACAAACGTTGCAATTCTAGGTCTCTGAGGCTTAAGGTTGTTTGTATTAGAAAGATTGAATTAGAGAGAAAAGCATATGGTCTTTATCTTGGCAAATAGATTTAAAATCTCCTGCTTATCCAAATACAAGGTCAAACTCAACGCACTCGCCTGCAATTCGGAGAAACGTTTCATGTAAGCCTTAATAAAGCAATATACAATTACATGAATTTAATCTCAATGACCCCAAATCTCGAAGATTAATATCTTTGCAGTATTCTTTCCCGGCACAACACCATGGCTCATACACAAAGACAACATGGATAAATAGAGAATGCATCAGTGTGATTAGGGAGCAGCAGAAAAGCTTTCCACACAGATCATGTAAGATATATCACAGACAGTATCCAAACACCTCTACTGATGGCTCGAGACTTCGCTCATCCATTGCAGCACATTACCACGTCTGCAGTACTAATTTACCATCGCAAAGTAATGCTGAAGTCCGCCATGCTAAGAGATTGGATGGTTAGTGTGATGTTTGTCATAATTGGCAAGGGATGATAAACCCCACTTGTGTACTCTTAGCAAGCGCAACTATGTGCATTTGGTTACGAGGAATATGGCTGCAGTGGGTCACCAATAAGTAGCACAGGTGCTGGTCATTTAAATGTTTTAAACAAAACAAAAAAAAAGCAATTTGTTCACTATTTGACAAAAATCACACCTCCAAACGTGAGCTATAAAAGTCATGCTGGCCCACATAGGCGATAGACATGACGAGCAGTAATTTTGCAGTATACAACAGTCAAGATGGATATGTATTTGTATTTTAGTGTGAACATGTGAAAAAAAAAAATTTTCCTCAGCAAAATCTTATACAAAATCAATAATGGACCCTGGAGTGAAACTGGGTGTGTGACAGACTGTAGGTGGACGTCTGGGCCACGTGTTTTGCTGGGTGCCCACACTGATCGACGCATTGAACATCTCACCACCACATAGACGCTCATCCCACACAGAAACAGGAAAACACACCAGCACGGTAAGGACAGGCAGAGTCTCAGATAGCCGGACCCAGATGGCTCCCAGCGGAGGTTTCCAGAGCCACTATGGCTCCCTGTGGATGGAGTGTTTGAGCCAACATGGCTCCTGCTGGATCACAAATGGCTTCTGCAAGTGTGAAAAATGCTGCACAGAGGAGAAGCATTAAAACAGAGAGAGATTGATTTCCAGTGCAGCACGCTTTTAGAGGAAAAAATGGGCCCTGCCCACTTCAATTGGGTCATGGTGAAGGATGATATTAACTTTAAGAGCTGATGGTCACAAGAAAGGATGACAACCAAAACAGAGAGATAAATTTGCATTCATTTAAAGCTTCAACCTAGTTAACCTTGCCTGAGAGCATCCCTACCAATGATATACAGATTCCCCAAACAGTAAACACTCCCAGAATAATATACACACTCTCAGGACCCTTCACACTTCCTTCTCTTGCTTTTAATCACTGGAAAGCCCTTCACGGACTTTAAATCTTATTTTATGGCATAGACCAATTACTGAGGGCATCTCTCTAGCTCTGTAACTCAAAGCACAACATGTTGGTGAAGTACAGGAAGGATATCCTGACATGACGGTTACTTTTGAAAACTGATGATATACAGGATAACTTGTGACATTCATTCGCATATGTAAGCATTATACATTCACTATATATATTTGTTTTAATTTAAAAAAATAACACCCTTCTATGAAGAAAGTGTCCTGCTATGGTGATGCTTTAATATTGTAAGTGATGGAAGGGGTTTGACACTAGTGCTGGGCAAAAAGGGTAGAAATTTGCCAAGTGGTATAAGTCTGAGGACAAGATTGAGACAAGTGTCAATAAATATTATTATAAAATTATTCTACAATTAAAACTTTTTTTTTTGGCATTTTAAAATAAAAAATTAATTATTAGAAATAACAATGTATTATTATTATTATTAAACCAGGAAAGTGTCCTGGTTCCCATGAATTTTAGCAATAGCTCTGAATTAATGGTTCGAGTGTTCAGATGAATGATTGATACAGAACCATGATCTAGCTGAAATCAGGAGAGGAGAAATCCAGTGTTGATGTTTATATATATATATATATATATATATATATATATATATATATATATATATAAAAAAGTGT